GTAAAGCATGTCAGTATTTAGCAACAAAAAACCCCATCGAAGCTGAGAGTTTATCTGAAGATCACAAAAATGAATGCACAGCAAATCACGAGGGTGGCAGTGGCAAAATGGAGGTCGACAGTGTTTCTGAAATGTTCAAGCGTTCTGAGGAGCGTTATGATTTGAAATACGTGAAATACATTGGTCAAACAGCCAGAAATTACGTCGACACCGTTGACAATGCTCGTATTTTGAGAGCGAAGAAAACTACAGAAGCTAACTCTAAAGTGGCCAAAACCTACGTAAGGTTCTCAAAGCTGTTTAAAATGATAATTATGAGGAAGCTGAAGGACTACTGTATGCACCAGGCATAGCAGAATAATATAAGTATAATTTTTTTATAAAAAATCTCTTCTCAAAACTTTAAACGTGTTTTTCTCGAAACTACGTTTTTGAAATTTTGCAGAAGCACTCACTAAAAACTATAGAACCGATTGGGCTACAATTTGTACCAGTTATTCTTGACACATATTCTAATGCATTAACCTCAAAAATCTTTAATTTTTTAATAATAAATATATTTTTTTAAACAATTAAAGATAAAAAAAAGCACCGATTTTGAAAAAATTTTTTCACACGTTCGTCATTTTGTTTTTTTTTTTTTTGTTGAAAAAAATGAACATATTGTTCGTATCATGTCTATAATTAAGTTTAAAGAATAATAAGTATTTTTAGTTTTTTTGTTTCAGACGGCTACAAAGGCTCTGTGCTTCTGCAAATTGAATTAGGGGACTCCAATTTAACGTTAAAAAAAAAAGGACAAATCTTGCCCAAATTAGGTTAAAAAAAATATTTTTGTATAGTTTAAGATACTGACAAAAACATATTACAAATTCAAGACGATCGCATTTTGTTTTCCTATTCAAAAAAAAATTCATGAAAAAGCATTGAAATTTCGGTCTTCACAGGGGCGTACTACCTTAAGAAGATGATTTTATGTATTTTAATATTTCAATGAAATATATAATCCGTTTAGAACAAATTAATGATTTACAAATTAATACAAATAAATTTACCTTCAATAATTGTCTAGATGGCAGTGGTTCCATAAGATCCATAAAATCATAATGTTCATTCGCACATAATATTAATGCTTCTGAAGTACTTTTGTTATGAAGAAGTATCACATGAATTTTTTTCCTATATCTTAAATCACTAAGATCAGCAGCAAAGTCAATATCTCCAGATATTAAAATGATTGCTGCTGGACTACCATGAATATCAGCAAATCTTCTGATAGACTGTTTCAATTTTTCATCAGCAGCATTTTTACATGTTGCAGCAACATGTATTAAATTAACCTAATAGTAAACAAAATTGACAAAATACTTATAAAATATGATTTATCTTAACATATCTATGATTAAAAGCGTGAAGCTGCATACAATTTCTGGTGTTATATTTTGTGCTCTATTATAAGATACATTCTCATAAGAATCGCAATGAGTAGGACTCATGTTTTTCATATTTAAGCCATAGAGCTATAGAGTGCATGGTGCGTGGTTTTATACATTGATATTATGCAAGGTGTTAATAAAGAACCTATAATTGCAATCTACGTATTTAATTGAAGCTAATTTTATCTATTAATCTATTAGTTTTCTATCAAGATTACCTGTGCATCATTTAATTCTTGCATTACATGATTATTTTCTTTTTGAACATCACAAACAACAATAAATTCTGCTTCTCGATAACCGCTAAAAAATTTATCTCTAATCACTTGTGTAACCGCCATAGCAGATCTTCCTTTTGGAACCTGTGTATAAAACATATTAGAATTAAAATGTATTATAGTATATAATATTCTATTATATAGTTACACATACAAATACTAATAACTTTAAATTAACATGACAATTAGCTATAATATAGTATGTGTAACTATTATCTATAATATAGTATGTGTAACTATTATATAGTTACACATACAAATATTAATAACTTGAAACTAACATGACAATTTTCAATGTCCCAAAATACCCCAATTGGTGGTAAATATGTGGGTAAAGTTGGTAAATTAATAGAATTATCATGGTGAAGAAAGGAACAGCCATATCTATAATGACTAAATAATGGAGATACAGAAGTCTTAAATTCTGTTTTGTTAGCACTACCATTATCTGAACCAGTATCATCACATGCTGCTTGACTTGTAGAAATTTCTTTAGTTTCATGAGAAGATATTTTTTGTGCAGACAACAACTGCAATAACTCGTCGCTTGAATCTTTCATCTGGTCTTAGATATCACAGAAAAATGTTTACAAATCTTTATCCTGGTTTGTGCTTTCAAAGCTCTCACTAGTGTTCTTTTAGGATATATACTGTAATGAATTAAAAATAGATTATAATTAAATATTTTCCTATAATGTTACAATTATAAATATTTCAAAATTATTCATGCATTTGATATTTATTTTACAAAGTATTAAGTATAAGCAAAAATATAATAGATATTAATAAGATTAACCTATTTTATTACAATTTTTATCAAAAATAATATTTAATATATATATATATATAATTTAACTGTAAACACTAACATTAAATCATGTATATATAAGTATTGAAGTAAAAAGTAAATATAAAAGATTATTGGTTATATTAAGAATGTAACTACAAATAGTACAAATGTATGTTATGTAGAAAGTTACGTAGTGGAAATATTTTTGACACAAATCTTATTAAATAGAAATATTTTATTAGAATATAGTTACCTAAGAAATCAACCCATTATATTTTGTATATTTTTATTCATTACGTAGAAATAATTATACGTAACTTTGTCTCAACGTTTTAATATACGTACAGAGCATCGAAAAATGGTATATTAAAAGAACAATAAAAGATCTTTTAAAAAGCCATAACCAAAATTTACACATGAAGAACAGTAGATTATGCAAGTAAATGTTTCTCTTACTTGATCTGTATATTTCGTTTTCTTTATATAAACTTCTTTTTATTTCTATCAAACTACACTATGCACAAACAAAGTGTGTACTCCAATAAAAGCGTTCCTAGCTTGAACTAACACATATATACAATAGTATATAATATATATACTATATAGTCCATATCAAAAGTAAAAAAGTATCGAAATATTTCTGTGGCGACTATCCGTAGCTCCGATGTCTTGCACCAGGACGGTGCCGACATCTCGCGGCTGCCAGCGCCAAGTTCGGCAGACGTACCCAAAAACTACTAGAGGTGCGCGTGTCTTGCAGCGACACTTTCTGCCTCGGCTTTGTAACCAAACCATGATGTAGAGGCGGCCGATTGGTCAGAACTCGCGGCGTAATTGCGCCTGGGAATCTGATTGGTCGGTCCTAGTAACGAACATCCCGGATCATCTCCTCGCTTCTCGGAGATCATCGATTTAACGGATTTCTTGACAGGAGTTCGATATCACTCGCCAAGCTTATCAGTCGACTGCGCTTGCTCTCTCTTCCGTATCAATTTATCATTCTGTATCTCATTGTGCGTGTGTGTATAAATTCTGTATTCTGTTGAATAAAATCTGTTCTGAGAGATCACAAATAAAAAACATGAAATCCCTTGTAGTGTCCGGCTTTCTCATTTGTCGTTACGGTGGTCAGTAACTAGTCATTCGGCCCACGGTCATTGGATTTCCCACATTTCTTTGAGTATAGCTTAAGGTAGGGATCCTGTAAGAGAGATGCGCCATACATATTCAGCTCATGTGCCATTGGCTGAAAATTTTGGGGGACTGCTTGAATTTATAATAATTTTTTCGTGTAACCTATTCTATTTTAATATAAATTTTTAATTATCATTAAATATAGTTCTTTTTTTTCTGTATTTGATGCAATTCATTATTTCATAATTATTTCAATGTTTGAATCATTCGCGCGCAAAATCGAGTTCCGGTCCCCCAGCAATGTACATGGCGCATCCCTCCTATAGGATCCCTAGCGCTAGGTAGCTTCAATATCAATCCGCCTTTGTATGATCTAAGGCAAATATATATGCATATACATACCAGTAATGCCAGACGCACCAGAGAACGTGTGTTTTTCTTTCACGTGGGAGTCTTCGTACGCATGCACATGTATATGTCTCCGTATGGGGCTCCGGCGCATCCTCGATGGCGGTAGTTTCTATTGACATATCTATGTGCAACAGCAGGTGCGCATAAGGGTCCTTTCCAGTCGTTCCCCACGATTTTTGTTAAAGTGAAGGTGAGTCGTGTAATGTTATATAATATATTGAATTATAGTGTAAACATGTTATTTTTTTTTTAAATGTCCTCTTCCTATAATTTCTATCGTATTTTAATTGTCACGGGGGTCTAAAGATACCCCATATTTGAGTGAAGTATACACGTTACTGAGGATTACATAGTGCGCATGCGTAGAAAAATCCCACGTCCTTGCATCACTGATACATCACTATAGAGAAGTGTTAAGTACATAATGCATATAACATTTTTTATATGCATTAAAAAAAGGTGACGACTAACCTGGATCTTGACAGGAATAGAATAAATTTCTCTTAATAAATAATTCTACGCTATGTTGAAACCAAAAGCTCTTACACAAGTTTTGAGCCAGGCGAATACAGGTGGTGTTGAAAATACTTTGTAAGTTATACATTTTGTATTAAAGTTTAAATTTTATAAAAACTTTTTGTCACGTTTATTAACCTAAACATAATATTGTTAAATTAATCATAATATATCACCTAATATATATTTATACAAGTAAAATCAATTAAATGTATATTTATTATACTGTATTATTAAATTATACTTGTGTATTTTATAACCAATATTATGATAAACTTCATTTCGCTATATAATAAATAAGTTCTTGTAAGAAATTAATAATGAATAATATTACAGGTTACTCAACAGAGATGGTGGTTTATTAGCGTATAGTGGCTATGGAGATAAAGATGCTAGAATAACTGCTGCTATTACAAGTAATATTTGGTCAGCTTATGAAAAGAATGGAAGAAATGCATTTAAAGAAGATGAATTACAATTTGTTTTGATGGATTGCGCGGTAATCATACAATCAACCTATCAAAATAACATTACGAATAATTTTTTAAAATCTAACCTATTTAAAAAGCACTGCAACATTATAATTTTAGATTAAACTTGATAATTCATGAATATCTTATTTCAGGAAGGCAAAGTGGTGATTACAGAAGTAGCAAATTTATTATTATGTTTGTATGCTAAAGAGAATGTAGGATTTGGTTTATTAAGAGAAAAAGCACAAGCACTTGCTAAATATCTTGATCGACCTTTGAAAACAATTGCTAATATGCCGTGAATAAGATTTTGTATATAATATACAAATTATATATATATATATAAATATATATACTACTTAAGGTACTACTATAATAATTACTATAATGTTCATATTTGTATACATCTCTTGAAATCTTTATAATTTGTATTATATGTGTACATAAGTACGTATATTAATAAATAAGTTTTCATATTTTAATATTTTTTTCGTACTTCATAATAACTATAATTTATTATTGGTAAAATAATATCTACAAATATTTATATAATATTTATATGAGAAGAAAAAAAAGGTCTTAGTGATAAAGTTAAATATAGCAAACAAATTTGTAATAAGCTTTTTATTTAATCTGGATAATAATAAAAAATGCAAACAATTAAGATTGTAATTTACTATGAATGTATAATTTATTTTACAAGTAATATAATGCAACAACAATAGAATGTAATGAAATTATGCTCACATACTTAAATCAAAATTAAATGTTAATAATGTCTTTATCATACTTTATCATAATATTTAAGAATGAAAATTATCTTTTGCTCATAAAAATGGAAATGACTATTTAATAAATATAACCACCTTTGCATTAATTATAATTTACAGATAATTGCACTAATATATATATATATAATAATTATTGCATCTAAAGTTACTGTAACTGTTTCTATCAAGTGAAGTTACTTTGAAATGATTATTCAAATTAATCTAGATCTTATTTTGTTTTATATTATCAATAAATGTGCAATGACCATACAACGATGTTACTTGTGAATTTACATGCAATTACGCATGTATTATAAATATATAAAAAATCTAGATATTTTTATTTTTATAAGTATTATAACTAGCCAATTATGCACATTTATTCAGTGATTAGTTTTCTTTTATTATACTCTTAATCAACTATTTTGTTGCAGTATTAATGAAGTATAATTACAATTAATATTAAATACGATTTCATACATTAGTTTGTTTACTTGTGCATTATTTGTATAGCTATAAATATATATAATTGTATATAAGTTTAAATACAAATTATTAAACGATCTTTTATATTATTGATTAAATGTAAACATAGATCTTGTTTAATATAATGGTTATTTCAAAGTGAATTTTGATAATATAAATATTCATTTTTATATATCGTTTTCGTATTAAAATAATAAATTCCGAATTCCATAACAACAATATGAACTTATTCCTATATATTATATTTAATATTCTCGTATTATAATTACTATAGAATTTGTAAAGTCTTCTATTATCCATTCTTATTTATTTTTTAAATCAAGATATAATTATTTCCTAAATCATGTAATTATTTATTAAAGACATATAAACTATAAATATATTTAAATCGGAATATTTCATACGTGTACATAATTTCTATAACTATAATATTGTGAGAGTACATAATATCAAAATCCATGTGAAATATTGAAAATATATCTTGTGTAAATAAAATATATTATAATGTCTTCTACAAATGTAATAAGGTAATTCAATTATTACTAGCTCAAATTTATCTGAGCAAAAATTAAGTCGAAACATAAATTCGTTCATTTTTATTTATTATAATATTTTTTTTTTTTTTTATGTTATTACTTGTTTTTTTTTTTTTTTTTTTTTTTTTTTTTTTACATTTCTTATAAATAATAGTATTAAAGTGCTATTTTTATTATATATGAATACCACCCTCATATTGAAAATTTAAATATTGAATTTATATTCAGTTCAAAAATTCATTTTATAAACGCATAATTCTTGATAATTATTTAGACTTATAAATATAAACATTAATGTGAAACTAATGGCATATATATTTAACTAAGGAAGAAATTAATTGCATTGAAATATATTTGAAAATCAGATTAATAGTAATGGTCCTAAAGTTATTGACAAATTACAATGTTTTTTTTTTTGTACGATCAATCTAAATATTTCAATTAGTGAGATTAATAAATCTAGTGATCTTATTACATTTCTTTTCAATGTAAAAACTTCAATGTAATTTACTGCTAATGTCATTGATCAGTTATATCTTGAAATATTAGGATTATACATTCATTGGGTTTGCTAATAAGTAATGTGCCGACATGTTCAGTAAAAAATACTGTATACAGTGTTGTTTATTTAGATATAAAATACTGACAATTCTGCCGTTACTTATTGGCTAATCCAATTAATTATGATATTAATTATATTTAGAATAATATGTTTTATAGATAGATATAATTATATTTTCTTATTTCATTTCTAAATATGCGTATATTGTCTAGGATGATTTTTTTTTTAGTAGGCCTGGAACAATTGACAAACAATGTCTATTGCAAATTTTCTCAGTATTTTTATTCGCTACTGAGGATTATTATATATGTATATGTGTGTGTATGTACATACATATATATTGTACGAAGTCAAAAATTAATGAAACTTAGAAAAATGAAGTATGTATATAATCATTAATTTATTATCCCTCTCTTTTATGATTTGATCTCTTATTAAAGGGACAATTATATATATATATATATGCTACATATTCTGCGTATTAATAATTATTATTTTTGTGATATCATAATTTTGTTGAATGTTTACCTGTTTTTATAGCATAAGGCCCAACATTGTGATCTTAGAGAATAATGTAACAAGTTATTTTCTTTAAAAATTGTTTTATTGTTTCAATACTAATATGTATCTGAAGATTACTTAACACGTTAGTAGTAAACACTTTGATTCAGATACTTAAAGTTATAATGCTAGCTATATAAATATCATACATTATGTTTTATAGCGGCAGTGCAAGGTAAGTAATTTAGAGAATCTTATGATACAATTACAAATAAAAAGAAATCTTGTAGAAAAAATTTGGTACAAAAGGATAAACTATGCACTACCACAGATATATATATATATCTACATTCTTTGTAGAAACTTTTTTTTTTTTTTTTATATGAAAAAGATGACTTCCGTAAATACTATTATCCATTAAACTACTCAGTAAAGCTAAAACATAACTTTAGCTATCGTTAAACAACTTTGGTTATTATTAGTAACATATTTGCCATTTTATCCTTAGTATGTCTCCTTTGAAAGCAGATAACTGTAATATGTGTTTAAAGGAAAAAAAAAAAAAGAACAATAATATCTTCCTAGAATTATTTTTCATTTGTTAATTTTTATAAAATTGTAAAATACTGAGTAAGTGAAATATCATCAAAGATGAAAGTAATATCTTTCATTACGATAAGTTAATGAGAATGTACATGTCTTCATTAATAATGAAGCTATAATACTTTCCATTGTAAAAGTTTCATATACAATATTGCTAAATAATAAATATCGATATAAAATATATAATTAAAATTTGTAGTAGACTTTTTCATATTGTTTCTTATTTTCTTTTTTTTTTTTGGTTTTCTTTTTTTGCTAAATTATAATCATATAGAAATGAAAACTTGCAAATGGAGACCGTATAAATCTTAAAAAATAAACTATTAACTAAAAAAAAAAAAAACCGATACAGTCTTCGTCTTCTTGCTGCACAGTTGATCTAATTAAAGGAGGCAAGAAGGGATAAGGGACGGATTTAGATTACATGCGTGATCCCTTCTGTTGTAAGACCTAAAATATAACCCCATAATTCAAATATTTTGATTGTTTAAAATGAAAAAAAAAAATAAAAAAGAATAAAATTATCAATTTTTAAACAATAATTATCAAAATCATTCATAATTTATTACATTATTTGTAATGTTGTTTTAGATCAAAATAATGTATGATATATTATTATTGTTCAGCCTCTGCTATATTGTTGTTGTACAGAATTATTTCATTGCACAAGTATCATTTATAAATTCGATTATAAAAATATGAAATATATACTAAAATAAAATAATACAGAAAGAAATAATAAATTGTATAATTAAAATTATAATCAATAATATTGTTACTAATCAAATTATTTATTTATTTACTTATTTCCATATTATAATGTGTATTTCTTTAAGTAGTCAATAATTTCTTTACTAAACAATGTTATAATTAAATAAATAAGCATATAAATAACATGTGTATGTAATGAACTAATTGTAACATGCATTATTAAATCATGCAGGATACAGGGCAAATAGAAACCAAACCAATGAAAGAAAAAATCTTTATTATACGATAATAGCATGCATTACAATAATAATAATCATAATAATAATAATAATGATAATAATAATAATAATAATAATATGATACATACAACAAATATCAGAGGCAGAACATGCTCATGCAAATTGATGTAAAAACTTTTGAATTCAATTCTATTAAAATTAATCAAATTTGTTTTTTATGAAAAAAAAAAAAAAAAAAAAACAACAACAAACTAATATCGCGTGATTTCTTATTGTTAAAGTCATATTGTAAAGTTATCTCTTGACAAATAATTATATAAATGAATATTTCATGTTATTTATAAGATTTCATCAAGTTAATTTACTGATTTTATTTTTTTTTATTTTTTTTTTTTTTTTTTTATGAAAAAAAAAAAAAAAAAAAAACAACAACAAACTAATATCGCGTGATTTCTTATTGTTAAAGTCATATTGTAAAGTTATCTCTTGACNTGTAAAGTTATCTCTTGACAAATAATTATATAAATGAATATTTCATGTTATTTATAAGATTTCATCAAGTTAATTTACTGATTTTATTTTTTTTTTTTTTTTTATATAAGTAATTTTATTTTTCTTTATTTTAATTTTTGTGCTGTGTGTCATATAGAGTTATTACAAATAATAAAATATGAGATTTGTAAATATCAATATATGATAATAATATAAATAGAATAATTAAGGGCAAATAGTGTTATTTTAAGAATTGCATATAATGTTAATTATCTTTGGCCATTATACAATGTATAAATACATGTAAAAAAAATATATTATTACTAAAAATTGTATATTGAAATAAATATTTTCAAGAAAGGTGGCGCTTAAGATAATACTGATAAAATATGTTTTATTCATTGTGATGTGCATGTTAATAAGAAATTATGCACACATTTGGATATTTATATGAATTTCTTTCAAATATATCCATTTAATAAAAAAGCTACGAAGAAAATAATCGTCATATAGTTTTTTGTTTTTGTAATAGAATGAAATATATTGAACGTAATATTCGTTCAATATACGAATTACATTATACATAACTATTTTGACTAGAACAAGAACTTAAATAGAGGGTATGGGATAGTGTACCTTAACACGATCAGTAGATTTCTGTTCCTTACTATTGATTTGACTTGGTCCATTTTCACGACTCACCACAACTAGGAGTTCAGCATTGTGATTTCCATAATTATATGTGGTGTTGAGATTGATTAGCTACAAATGAACAATCATATACCAAACTATAGAATATTAATATAAAGGAGGTTAAATTTAAATAGAAAAGTTTCAATTTGTCATACGTTGTTATTCGATTAATTGTAAATTGTTTGTTTTATTATATGTTCAAATACCTGTTCAAATTTCCACCCATCGGACAATGTTGACATCATCTGTGTTATTTCATCTTCATGACTTTGCAATACTCTATAAACATATTTCTTCGAATCTTTTAAAGGTTTTGTATCTCGCATTACAATGCGTTCTTTAACTAGCCGAATTAGTTCTGTAATATTATAAAATTCTGCCTCTTCTAATACACCTTCTTCAGTTAAGTCCTTATTGATAACCAATTTACCATGTCGTAAATAATTTAAGATAGGACTAAAATATGTTGGATCACGGTCTATTAAGTAAGCACCAGTTTCATCCTATAAAAAAAACTTGTAAATCACTGTACTATATCACTAAACACATCATTTTATTGATTTAATCAATTCACATTGTTCAATCCAAGGTCATAATTATGTTCACATTATATTAATGAAAATCAAACACAAATTTTTAAATCAAGAATTTGCAAGAATAATATTTTTTACGATTTTCACCAACGACATTGTTAATAAAATTAATTGAAAAATAATATATATATATAATAATAATAAGAGGTAGTATGGATAATAACAATGATATATTTTTTTTGTAAAGTTCATTATATTGTCACAATGCTGTTGGTCTCAAATTTACGTATATAGTATAATATTTATATGAAAGATTAAAACACGATAAAAAGAATTATATGTTTAAAGTTTTCAATTATATTTGTTACTTTAGTTTCACTTAAAATATGCAATGAAATTTTAATAATGAGTTTCAGTTACAAATAACCTCACAAAAAGAACTAACCCTGTCCGATATAAGATCCGAATCTTCTTGACAAAGTCGATAAAGAAATGAGTTAGGGTCCCGACCCAACGTAGTTTTTGAAGTTAAGAAATATGTTCCGCCCACATTTAATTTCACCCATTGTATATTACAACGTTGTTGAATATTATTTTCTGTCATTTCGTGTGAGTTCTTCTCGCTAAAGTTCGCCATGTCCGCTTTGACATTCGTATATATGTATTCGTATGTATATGCATATATGCTATGGAGGGTGAGGTAAGGAGTATCATCCATAGAGATATTATAGATAGAGGAAACAAACCATGGGCGGTTGTGTAAGTGAAAATGTCTCTGCATGAATATAGCAGCAAAAAACTAAAGGTTGATGTTGTCTCTCTCTAACTCATGCAGTACCGGCATGAGAACTAAAATCAGCTACCTTAACCTCTACTAGCAGACTAATGCGCATGCGCCGCTCAGCGCAAGTTAGAAAGAGACAACATCAACCTCTCATGTTCTATCTCTTTTTATTTCGACGGCAGGTTTTATGCTGGCTTGTCTGCTCTATGTATAATATCTCTATGGTATCATCTCATATGGGAGAAAATGTGAAAAAGTGTCCAGCGTTTTCTGAAAATCTTAGTTCAAAAACCTTCCAAAATGGCGCTGGTGAAAATAGAGATGTGGTATGAATGTAGCAATTGTAAACGAATTGAAGTATACCGAGTTATGTAATAATGTAGTAAATATAACCTTAAAGAATTATTATGAGAAAACGTGTAGCTAGTGTGATTTTATTTCGTGAAGTGTGAATAGTACGTTTATTGATTTTTTATCATTTAATTTTATAAAAAAAGTATGTGAATAACAAAACATTTATGGGTAAAATTTGTGTTCCTTGTTTATTTCTCAATTCTACTTCAATAATATTTGGCGCTTCCTTTTAAATTTACTTGAAGCTACTGTGGCGCCACCCTAATTGAATGCATTTTGACGGACACTTTTCATATACACAGATGATACTCCTTACCTTTACCCTCCATAATATATGCCTACAAACTGCGCATAGATTAAATTTCCAAAGAAGATTGGCATCTTTCATTGTGTAAAAGTGAAAATATGGCAGATGTACAAGTTTAAAGGACAAGATCATACGCGAGTTGCAATAATTACTCGATAGAGGCAGCGTTAGTTCTCTAGGATGCTTTACTTAGAGTTTTAGTAATCATGTTTTTATTTCTAATCAAGATAGATACTTCTTAACCTAGTTATAACTTAAAGCTTTACATCCTCAAAGTATATGTTATATTATTACATATACATTTAAGAACTTTGTAGACAAAAAAATATTGCTAAAATATTTGTCTTTCCCTTTCTCTATTTTTTTTTTTATTTTTATTATGAAATATATTCTGAATTAAAATGAATATGTTGCTAATTCGATGCTTAAATTTAAATCTATATTTAGTGCATCCTATTTAAATGGTAAATCGTATTTCGAGTTATGTCGATTTTTGGACGATAGCACTCGAGTGCTTCGATACGATTAATGTAAAGTATCATTGTAGATATAAGTGACAATAAATACAGATACAAAGCGCCCTCATGAAAAGTGTACTAATTTTCAAGTGGCAAACGCGCTTAACCATTATCTTCGACAAATGTTTTCTTCCTTTGCTAGCTCTGCTGACCCGCTAGCCTCTGCTGATAGAGAACCGGCAAAATGGACGGTATCGCATTGAACGCGTCCGATCATGTCTTAGAAGTGATTTTCTCTTATCTAGATTTGCACACTTTAAAAAACTGTGCATTGGTATGTAAGAGGTGGTATAAATTCTTAAGGGATGAAAATAATGATGTATGGAGAATGCATTGTATTAGAACATTAGCTCAAGAAGCACTTAGTTCTGATTTATTATCATCGGTACCCACTTACAAAGCGAAACTTCGAGCATATTATCATGCTTGGAATCCTAACGATTGTTCGCGTAATGTTTATATCAAGTCAAATGGATTTACATTGCATAGGTATGTTTTTTAATCAAACTATCCAATTCTATTGTTTGTAATCATTAAATATTTATTTTATTTCATTTTTATTATTTTGTAACACTTTGTAGATCTTTAACATCTGTATCATTTGAATTATCAACAAATAACCAAAGAGCGTTTATACTTTTTGTTTTTTATTTGTCATGGGAAATTTGAAATATGGAATACTTGCTTAAATAAAGTATTCAAGTATTTATAATTAAAAGGTTTTACATTGTGATATCGAAGCTATTATTATTTACAAAGTTATACTTTTTTATATTATCATTGTGTATTAATGAATTACTAATCATTAGATTAATTAAAGTATTTTTTTAGGAATCCTGTTGCACAAAGCACAGATGCTTGTAGAGGTAAAATAGGTTTTCGGCATGGACGTCATGCATGGGAAGTAATATGGGAAGGACCATTAGGTACAGTAGCTGTTGTAGGTATAGCTACAAAAGAGGCGTCTTTGTTATGTCATGGATATGTAGCTTTGCTTGGATCTGATGAACACTCTTGGGGGTGGAATCTCGTTGACAATCATTTACTACACAATGGAGATGCACAAGGGAGTTATCCATTACTCAATAATGCTCCAACATACCAGGTGAAAGTTCTTCTTAATTTGATTAGAATAAATCAATAAAATGTTAGAAGAAGAGATAATTAAATTAATGAAAGAAACTAATATGTATTATTATTATTATTTTCATTTCAGATAGGAGAAAAAATCAGAGTCATACTGGACTGTGATGATAACACATTGTCATTTGAAAAGAATTATGAGTTTCTAGGTGTAGCTTTTAGAGGTATTACTTATGATTTGTTTGTTACTATTTTATAATACGATTAATCATTTAACCAATTTTTACACAACATTCTATATTTGTTATCAAATAATCAGCATCAGATTTCATTTTACAACTAACTGCACAGGGTTACCAGATAAAAGGTTATATCCATCGGTTTCTGCAGTATATGGAAATTCAGAAATATCAATGGTGTACATAGGGCCACCTCTAGATGGCTAACGTTTTACTTCCAACAAAAAGATATATTTGAATACTTATTCAAAACTACATTCTGCAGTTTGCTGCAGAGCTTGTGGCATCTTATATCGACGTATCTACGTTTCAGTAGATCTAGCACACTAAAAGATATGATTCTCTTATTGGAGAATGTGTGCCTACTAAATTACGTGGTTGGTAATACTGTAAATAGTTAGTTTTATTATTGTATTTTAGATGGAGTGTTATTAATTGCACAACATCATTCAATTATTTCAATTTTTCTTTTATCAGATCCATTATAAGGTCATATAATAATGATCATGATATAGGATAAAAGTATTTTTATGAATTCCAACCATATAATTTCAATATTATACTGGAACTGAATTTAATATAAATTTTAATCGTTCTTTTAACCAGTTTATAAAACACTCAAATTCCTATTTATTCGAATAACAATTGGTTTAAAATTGTCTTATATCAAAGAAGTACATTTTATTTTTCTAAAAGTGTATTATTTACTAAAAAAAAAAAAATCACATAACGCATATTTGATAATTAATTCAAATTTTATAAACAAATTAAAATGTGATTTAATTTTTTATATTTGCATATGGTCAAAACACATTGAACGTAGATATTACATTGGATTTGATTTTACTATAAAATATAGGATTTAAATTTGATATATATTGAACTTTTAATTCATGTTAATTTTACGTGTTTAATTTATAGTTTCTTTTATTTATTTAATATAAATTACTTACCATAGGATATATATATATATAAAAATTTTATCAGTATTATTTATTTGTCTTATATATTATTTCGTATATATAGTGCAAATATTGAACAACTATAATTGTTTAATAATTTACCATTCAAACAGTCTGAACTTTGTATTATATAATATTTTTGTTTTTCACAAATTAATGTATAGTTTATTTATAAAATTTTAATTTAACAATCTAATATTTAATATATTATTATTTATATTATTTTGTGTATTTTTTTTTTTGTTTAATTATAGCTGTAATATCTATATTATTAGATACACTAGTCATTGTCCAAGGAATGTGTTTTATTATTTCCCGTTTGACTGTATGCAAGTATTGCAATGTTATATACAAATTTCATAGAAACGTTCACAGAAATGAAATTTAATGAAATAAACTGTTAAAAATAATGAATCTTTGGCAAGATTCCTTAACTTATATAAATTCAGGGTCTTTGTATGTTTATAAAATTATACATTACAAGTATCTCTTATAGTTCTTGTGGCCTGTAAACTATTTGTATATACACATACATGCATATATATATATATATATATATATATATATATATCATAGAAAAAAATGAGATTTACATATGAACATATTTTCCGCAAAGTGTGTTAATGTGTCCTGATTAGGGTGTATGTGAATTTTGTGAAAAACATAAATAATATTAATCCCAATTAATATTTATTAAGTATTATCAAATAAGTTTAAGCACCATCACAGTTGGCCCTATCTATTTACATAATCGTTAGTTTCGATATATCTACATTCCATTTTATAGTAACGATCATCTATATAGTTATATAAAATTTAAAAATTTTTTCACACTATTTAATATATTACAATTTGATAAAAAGGAAAAAAAAACGAAGACAAAGTTCTCTCTATACAAAAAAAAAATATTCTGCAATGATCTATGCAATTTATCTTATTATGATATTCAGTGGCTGTAGTATTTATTTATTTATTTATTTATTATTTGTATTATTTAATTAAGTTTATTCTTATTTAACTTACTTATATAGTATTATAATATGAATGGATACCATAATATAATACAATACAATGTTATATTTTCATTAGTTTCCAAAGTCTACCCTTAGATCAATATTAATTTATGAAACAAGTGTAATTTGTGATACTTTTGAGTTTCTATAAAATACCCTAGAATGAATGATTACTTAATTAAAGAAGTAATGTTAGTAAATTGGATTACATAAACAGATTGTGAATGTGATAATGCTTATTGTGCATAGCAAACTGTTAATAAGTTCACTCCTCTACCTCAGAAACTATACATGATTTGGGATTAAGTCCTTAAATTGTATATTATATTATTTTAATTATTTTATTCATATCATCAAACAGAAAGAGGCTACACATAAAATCCGTTTTAACATAATGTAAATATGATGTATAAAATTTCATACCACTATTGTGGTTAAATGCACAAGAATATTTCACATCTAAAAAAAAAAAAAAACGATTCTAATATGCTTTTAGCATCTACATTGTAAAAATTCTTGTATTAAATACATACATGATATGTAATTACAAACTATTTGTCCTCTGTTAAATAATTATGAAACAATGCTATTTTTATTATGAGATAATACTAATATCTAGTTTAGTAAAAGCTGCTTCTAGTAATTATTATAGCTAAATTATTTATAATGTGTATATATATATATATATATTTATTTACTGATATCATAACATTTATTAAGTGTAGTCAAAAGTAGTTTTTTTAAACTTTTATAAAATACAAATATGTGTATAGTATAGTAGATGTATATAAATTACACAGGGTGTCCTGTAACTAATGATACAAGCGAATAGGGGTGATTATACATGACAAATTTATTTTAAGTCGAAAATAAAAGAATAACATTTTTCATATAAAGTTTTATTTTCGAGAAAAATAAATTTGAAAATTTGTAAACAAAAAATTACGGGTATATTTAGAAAACAAAGTCTTATAATAACAAATTTTATTTTATTTTATTTTTTCGATTTAATTTTTCATATAGAACTACCCCTGTGCATGTTTATACCACCAGTTAGGTGGACACGCTGTATATATATATATATATATATATATATATATATATATATATATATANATATATATAAGTATAGCTAAAGTTATATATATATATATATATATCAGTATTAAATTGTATTATTTGATTTAATCGTAGAAATCCTTGGTTTTATTGGAAATAATTAGACGTTTTTGAGAAAGCATATAAAAAGAATTTTATTACAAACTAAAACTAGTAGTTTAGAAAATAATGAGGTTATATATGAATCCATATTGAAATTTGATCCGTTTTTAAAGTCAGCTTTTCTTTTTTAACCACAATGCTCGTATTTATCCATTCTTTTCTCTCCCTGTACTTTAAAAACCAATGCAAAACACCTTAACTATTCATCTTTTGTAAATTCATATATTACCTAGTTGAAGTATAAAATTCTGATTTCTTTCATATGGAAACAGGTCAGTAAAGTTATTTCAAAGTTTAGCTAGTCATTTCACAAATTTACAAATTTGAAAAAATATAAATTATTTTTTAATTTAAATTAATGAAACATGATAAATTTATGAAATATATTTTATATATACTCCAATAAGATCAGTGTTTATGTCACTCAATGTCAGTTTTTTGTTTGAATATATATGACACTTTAAGATGTCGCTACGTGTAGTTTATCGCAATCAGCAATAAAAGAAATGTCTTTTCTTTTATACAAATAAATCGTTAAAAAGAATGGCCTCATAGTTAATAAATCTATTTTATGGATTAGTTTAAAGTAATAATATTTGGAATGTACTTCGATGACTGTTTATAAATTTTGTATAATTTGAAACATTAAATTTATATATATATATATAAACATCTTATTAAATTCTGAGATTGAAGTGCATGTGTATATGGTTATTTAATGGATTTTCAAAAATCTTATTATACTATATAATATATTTGAATATTGTATCTATGTGCACTGAAAATAATTTGAAAAAGAAATAATTTTCAAGAAATTGTCATTATGGCATCACCAGCTCCTAAATCTCCCGAACAATCAGAACGAAATAGAAAATATGATCGACAGTTGAGGTATTTAATAAATAACTGTAAAATTTGCTAAACATTATAAACAAAATTGTTCAAAATGTCTTCTTATATTTTTCTATTATTGTATACGCGTTTTATCCTTAGTATTTTCATATATTCATTATATTATGTTTTATTACATTTTTAGGTTATGGGGAGATCATGGACAAGCTAATTTAGAAGCAGCACATATTTGTCTTATAAATGCTACCGGATTGGGAACTGAAATTTTAAAATCATTAGTTCTTCCTGGTATTGGTGCATTTACTATTGTAGATGGGAAAAAAATAACAAATGAAGATATTGGAGCAAAGTATGTGACAAATATTGAATGTACATTTAAATTCGATTTATTTTCTATTTATTATTTATTCATTGCATTTATCTCTGTTTAGCTTTTTTCTAGAAGCAGATAGTGTTGGAAAATCAAGGGCTCAAGTTGCGACCCAGATGTTATTAGAGTTAAATCCTGATGTCAGAGGTGATTATATTGATGAAGAACCTGAACAAGTTTTGTATAATAGTCCGGATTTTTTAAATAACTTTACAGTAGTAGTTGCTACTTCATTAACAGAAAAGTAAGTATTACACTAAAAAAATTAACTTATTAGGTATTTAAAAAATCAAATCAAATATATTATCTTTTATATAGGATTGGATAGAAAGTATCCGCAGAAATTTACTTTTATTTCAAATTTAATTTTACAAAGAATGAATAAACCGATTTAGGTCAAATGTGCGCCGTTTTGTTCGATAACTTGTTGCCATTTTGAAGGTAATTTCATTATGCCTCTCTCATAGAAGCCCTCATCCCTATTGGCAAAAAAGTGAGATAACCAATTTTCACAAGCCTCTTTTGAGGGCAGCTTAGTACTGCCAAGAGCATTTTGCATGGACCGGAAAAGGTGGTAATCACTTAGTACCAGGTCCGGACTATACGGTGGGTGCGATATAACCTCCCATCCAAGTTCCCGGAGTCTCTGCCGGGTCGTCAAAGATGTGTGCGGTCTAGCGTTGTCCTGATGGAACACAACACCCTTTCTATTCACCAATTCTGGCTTTTTCTGGTCAAATGCGTGCTTCAATCTGGTCAGTTGTTGACAGTTTATGTCCGAATTGAGTATTTGGCCATAGGGCAGCAGCTCATAGTAGATGATTCCCTTCCAATCCCACCAAACACACAGTAAAACCTTCTTGGCCGTCAATCCGGGCTTGGCCGCCGTTTGGGATGATTCGCCGGCCTTCGACCATGATCTTTTACGCTTCACATTGTCGTATGTGATCCACTTTTCATCACCAATCACTATCCGTTTCAGAAATGGGTCGATTTTATTGCGATTCAGCAGTGTATCGCATGTATTGATTCGATCAAAAAGGTTCTTTTGCGTTAAGTCGTGTGGCACCCAAACATCCAGCTTTTTTTTGTATCCAGCCTTACTCAAATGGTTCAAAAGGGTTGTATGAGTGGTATTTAGTTTCTGGGCTAATGATCGAGTGCTCACATGACGGTCTACCTCAATTAATTCCATGATTTTATCAGCATTTTCGACGATTGGCCGATCAGAGCGTCGTGCATCTTTGATATCGAAATTTCCGGAACGGAATCGAGCAAATCATTCCTGTGTGCGACGTTCACTTACAGCATCCTCACCGTAAACTGCACAAATTTTTCGGCATGTTTTTCCAGCGTTTTTGCCTTTTTTATAGTAATAAAGCATCACATAGCGTATTTCTTCGGAAATTTCACTCATTTTCAATGGAATATAACTTTTGACACGCACGACAAATTGCGAAACTGTCTGCATAAAGAATGTAGCTTGAAATGTCATCTTTCAAACGGCGTATAGTATAACCCGATAAGAATCATACAAATTGAGATATCGACGCTAGCACCATTTATTGGCAAATTCCGCGGATACTTTCTATCCAATCCAATATAATAATTTCTATAAAAATTTGTCTAGGTGCTTAGTCCTTTTGTCGAGACGACTTTGGGAGTTAAATATTCCCTTAATAGTATGTAGGAGTATAGGCTTTATTGCTTATATGCGAATTCAAGTAAAAGAACATACTATAGTGGAGACACATCCAGATAATGAGACACCAGATTTACGTTTGCATAAACCTTTTGGAACATTAAAAAAGCACTTAGATTCTATCGACCTTGACACATTGAGCTTCAAAGATCACTCTCATATGCCATATGTTGTTATTTTATATAAATATTTATCTAAGTGGATTTTGAATCATGGAAGTTTGCCCAAGACTTACAAAGAAAAGCAACTATTGAGAGAAATGATTAAAAAAGGAATGAGAAAAGATGAACAAGATGTATTAAATATTGAAGAAAATTTTGAAGAAGCAATTAAAGCTGTAAATACATGTATAAATTATACTGACGTTCCTGATAGAGTTAAAAATATTTTAAATGACGAGTGTTGTATAAATCTAACAGCAAAGGTAAACACAAATATATTCCTTTCAACTTACTATTAACCCTTTCGCTACTACGAGCGACTATAGTCGCTCTCCATGTGATGCCACTCAGGTACTACGG